AGGGGTACGCAATCTTATCTATAATATGTGCATCGGCCGATGGCAAGGAGTACGTAAAGAACTAGTCACTATCATCACAATCACCTCTACGTGCTGTTGAACTATGGTATTACATGTCGTAGAAAGCGGCTGCCAGCTTGCTTAGTCTGTTTTGAGTGAGCACGTGGGCTCTGCCTGCTCTCTGAAGATGGCTGCAGCCATGCTGCTCTGACAGGCGTGATGCCAATCCCTTGCTTATAAGCCTCCCTAGCAGCAAGATATGTACTCTCAGAGAGGCTGCCAACTTAAACTTGACTTTTAGACCCTGATTTGGATAGCAGCTTGCTTGCTGCCTGGACAGAGCTTACTTCTGCCTATGGGGTCCTGGGTGGACACAGCCCATACGCTGAGCTCCAGTTCACTTCTCATTTTAGTATGGGAACACTGCAAGAAACTGTTCATTACATCTACCCACACATACCACACCCTGCTTATTTACAGACACCTAGCTGTTAACAAAAATAACAATAAAAAAGCCCCCTAAGGAAATAAACTTCTGAGAACCTGTTTTGCTAACATGCTGCCACTGTGAGATATATAATCAACAAAAGCTATGTCACAGCACATACTTTTACTATTATATCTTCTGTCAAGGACAGCTTCTTACATACGAAAGCAAATATTTAGTAAAACAGACATTAATCGTATATTTGATGATGGCTGGCTAATGCCCTTTTCATAGGCAGCTGTTAGTCTGTACCCTGGAAACCTCTTTTATAACCACCTCACAGTGCTTTTGGAACAGTACCATTAGCAGAAACAGAGCCGAAAGTTTTACCACAGCTGCTGTGTGTCTGATTTCTTTTTTTTGCAGACACAACGCAGCCTCTTAGAGCTTCCAGCTACTGAGCTTAGCTCAGTCATCAATAGAAGGACAGAAGAACGTGAAGCAAAGTTTTTTTTCAAACTGCAAATGCAAGTAAAATTCAGGTCTTCTCTGTGATTTTTACTTTGAATTAGTGTGGTTGCTTGATCTTCCATGTTAGTAATTGCTAAAACTGTAGCTTATTCCTCAACTCATTTCTGTCTTTGTTTCTTTTTTCTGTTTCACAATGTGAGGGTTGAAGGTTATTGTAATGAAATGGGGTTGCTGAATTAAATAATGCAGCCAGTGTTGTCATGTAGAGGAACTGGAAAGTCCCAAAGTCAGTGCGTACAAAAGAGAGTTCTTACTTGTAGGCACAGACTCCAAAAATGACTGCAGGTTTCATTAGGCAGGAAACAGTCACGGAGCTTTGAACTTTAAATCACAATTAACTGAACTTTCCGTCTAACTGAAAAGATTCTGTGAGGAAAACCCCTCTTTCTCTCAGTTGCCATTTCACATTACTGCCTGCAGACTCATCACAGGACTAGCCGCTCTGCCGTCCCTTGGGTGGGGCCAGCTCTGGCAGCTGCAGCAAAGGAGGAAAATCACAGCCAGCTGCTACTGATACTGCTGCTGATGCCACTGTAGGAAGGCCTGTGATTTGGCGGGGAGGAAACTGATAAGTATTCAGGACTGACACAATCCCCTCTGCTACCACTATTAGCAGCAGCCATAGTGGTCACTGATAATTAAAGTGTCTGATGGCTTTGAAATGATTATTACTTCCCTGGGAGTGAGAGACAACTGCGTGTTAACAGCTGATAAACTGTTTGCCATATCAACAATGCAGTTTTTACTTTTTCTAACTTTTAATGTATCTATAGGCTCCACCTCTATTACACATTAACTTGATTGCTGCTGCTGTCTTTTTTTATTCCTCATTTATTTCCCTCTGTTCCTGACAGTTGCTATCCAAATCAGTGGAAATGTCTGAAGAGGTTTACATTAGGTTCTTGCTTGGATACATTTCAGATTTCTTCTCTAAATTAAATTCTTGAATACTTCATGCTGTCTGTATAACTTATTTTACTTGCTTCCTGCAGTACACTATTCTCCCTGCCATACAGCCAAACATCCCTTTGAGATCTACATTTTTCCACTATATTTCCTGCTCACTTCCACAAGATCTTTCATTTGTCACGGCAGTTGTCCTTCAATGAAAGCATTTTTTACCCCTTCATGAAATTATTGAGAACCCAGTTTTTCTACAAGTATTTTAGCAGTAACGAGCTCATGATGCTTTCTGCTGTTTATACCTGTCTGTCAGCATCTCAGGACATCTCATCCTCCTGGCACATTCTTGCTACAGTAGAACCTCATGCATGTTTAGGTGCTAGATGAGTAACTGCAATATTAATACTGTCTTCAAGTCTTGGCCTATAGAAGTCATGGGAACTGTTCTGGGAAGAAAGACACACGAGGTGTGGGGGAACATTTCATTTAACTTTGGCTGGAGCTACACATGGTTTTAAAAGCATTTAGTTTAAAAAGTTCTTCCTCTATTGTATGATGGTATATTTCCTCATTAAGCCTTTCTCTGACTTCCTGTTTTCAAGGTAATGGTTCTGCATTGTGGTGAACACCAGTAACTAAAGAATCAACAAACATTTCTCCAAAGGCTGCAAGACAATCCTCTATCATGGTTTGTTGGCTCTGTGTGTGAGAGTATTTCAAGGGCAGGTACATAACCTTTCCATTAAACCATGATGGAAGTTCAAGTGAACTTTAGTAAGTCTAGTTACTTTGCAGCTTTAGGAAAATAGCCAAGATACACACTGTAAGGACTAAGTGAAAACAAACTAGCACAAAGAACTTCTTCAAACTGCTTTATTTACAAACTGACATGATGGATACATAAGCCAAGAGGCAGGCAAATCCCTTCCTTTGTGACTGACTGATAGCTATAGCAGCCCTCTGTCAGACCCTTACCTTGGACAGAGAGTCCAGCAACCTCTCCAGTGCTAACAGCTAAGCTCCTCCCTTCCACTGGTAGCCTCATTCTCCCTCTTTTCATTTCATCTTTGCTACTATTTCTATTCCAGCTTCTTCCAGTTTGGGAGTAAAAATTCTAGGATTCACTTTGTGTTAAACAAGGAAAACTAAGAGAGAAATACTTTTACAGATACGTAGTGCTCAGCGGAAAATCTCCCCCAGAGTCATCATTAACCAAGATGTCAGCATCTATATCCTCCTGGATCCAGACTCCTTAGACAACAAAAGTCACATCAATACCATCACCTCGCTTACACGTCAGTGGTAGTATGGTCACAACAGCACAGAACTCAGGATAAGTTTTTCAACTGCTCTCTATACTTCATCTTTCCTTTGTTAATCACGTTAACAGTAATCCCAGGTCCTTTCTAGTTTTGCCAAATTCTGTACTAAAAGAATCAAAATTCCAATTCAGGAGCAGCTCTGAATTTTGTCTTCAAGCAAGGTGTTTCTCAACAGCACTGGCCACTACTTTATGATACACAGCAAAATCACTGGTTCAAAAAAAGAAAATAAAACCACCATTAACTGCTGTTTTGAAGTCATTACTGACGACAAAGTCATTCTGGAATGTACTGCATACCAACTAAAATATATTGTAGCTAGAGTCTAATGCCTAGCTAAGCCGTTAAAGAAACTTCCCTGTGGGGCGTATTTGAAGTTTGACATACTCTTTGTAACTATAGTGAAGACGAGATGGTGGGGTTTTCTGCTGTGTCTCACTGTAAAAATGCATACTCTCAGAGTCAGTGCAGACCTTGCTTCTGTAGGATGCTCTTGGCAGCTCATAAAAGGAGAAAGCAATTGAGGAGTCAGTAACCAAATAAGTATAATACTTATGCAGCATGTGCACCTGGACCAAGCCAGTTTTAAACACATCTCAGACCTACTTTATTTGCCTGTAATACCCCCTTTTTCTAAGGCCTTTATCCATATACTTGGTTTTAGCAAGAGCATTTTAGTACAACAGACAATTTTAGGAAGAAAAGCAATGAGGGTGCTTCAGCTATCACAGATGCACTGGGAACTTCACTCTGACACACCCATTCACAGCCCTGCAGCGCTGCAACCATTACAGAAGTATCCACTGCTGCTCAAACAAATGAGATACATTTACTATACACACACACACACAGCCCTTGGGTGACAATGGCCATGAAAAATGTATTTTGTTAGACTCCTGGGACAGATGAGTAGATAAAATAATGTAGAAGCATAATTGTTATCCCTAACCACAAAATGCCTCAAGCCATTGCTGTCACAGTGGGAGTCTGTCAAAAGCATGGCCATTTCCCTAAAACGTGGTTGAGCCTGCGCCATGTGAAATTTCAAAAGCATTTTGTCATTTTGGACATACATTTTTTTCTTTTTTTTTTTTCTTTCTATTAATGTTTCATTTTTAAATACAAATGTTTGAAGCAGATAACCAAGCTACAGAAAGCTAGTTGACAGACAACTGAATTTTGTGGTCACTTCTAACCCCCTTTGTTCCAAAATCTTGTCAGTACACCCCAAAGAAGCCTTAGGAAGCTAGAAACAACCATGCTTGGCACAAAAGCTTTTCAAATTTCAGTCACAGATCACTGCAGTTTTGCTGCTTTTCAGCAAGGCTGTGTCTAAATGCAGTAGGTATTAGTAGTTAGTTCAGTCCATTGAAACACAGGAATGGAGTTGTATGCTGCGGGTCTGCGTGTATGTGTGTGTGTGTGTGTGTGTGTAGTAAACCCCACCCCCCCTCTTTTCTCTACTGTCGGTAATGGAGCTGGGAGAGCACACTAAGTATGTAACAGCATTCACGCTGTCGAACTGAGCTTTACCAGAGTGATTCTAAATTCCGTAATGTACTTCTGTTCTTAGTTTACACGTAACAATTCTCTTTTTATAGATCTAGAATTGCCCTTTAAAAGTAACACACAGCTTTCTGTGACTGTACAGATCAGCACGGCTGAGGTTACAGCATCTCTGATAACTCTTACAAATAATAAAACTTTATGTAAAATTAGATGCAAGAAAGCTGTTAGCTGTCTAGCAGGAGAGCTCTTGCTGTCTGAAGCATCAACTTATTAGCAACCATAAGTGTTTTCATTCATTAAAAACTTACGTGTTTCTGTAAGACAAAGCTTCAGCAAACATAATCCAAAAGTTGCCCATAAGCAGAAGTTGGCCATTGTTTCCTCAGAACTCTTTTGGAAAAACCAGAGATCCTTGCAAGCTGCGGAAGGCAGATAAGTCCCAATGCTTGTTAAGCCTGCAGTCAATGAGTCTGAAGTTTGCTGCACTTTTTATTCTGATTCAAAGGAACTGAAGTAATGACATAACTGGGAGGGGGAGCTCCATCATAAGTCACACCCATATTGCACAAAAGTTACCCAGCAGAGCAAGAAGGAGCGGTAGGAGGGGAGCGAGTACTGACTAAGCAGCCACACTCAGTTTTAAAGAGGCACTAAACCTCTTCTTACTCGAGTAAGTTATACTTACTGCACTTGCAGGAAAATCTCTCATGAGTGAGCTCTGAAAGTCCCTGTTTGTTATAAGCTTTCCCTCCTGCATTTTAAAATCTCGTTATTTCAAACCAGATGAAAAGAAAACGCCAGTTTCTGAACCCCAGCAGAGCATCTACAACTGCCTGGATGTTAACTCAAAATATTTTGCTTATTTAGTTCCATTTCACAGTTTTCTCTTTTTGCAGTTCAATTTAGAGCAAGCAGAATGAGTGCTCTGCAATGAGCTTTTCTGAAATGTTTCTGCGTGTCCCAGGAGGATAATCTCATGCAGAAGGTAAGTCGAGGCAGTTCGGTCTCCCACAGCCCATGCTACCCTTGGCTTCTCTGCAAAGGTTGCTCCCACCAAAATGGTAACTAATGCCAGTGCCAGAAGTGATACTGAGGACTCAGGCTGATATTTTATTTTATTGATGGTATAAGGTACCATCAAATCCCTGGTGAAAACCTCGAAGCCTCTGTAGATAAGTGAAAGGCTTGTCTATTGTGTGCCGTGACGATTTCTTATGGTGTCTCCATACACTGGCCTCTCTCCACAGCTGCAGGATTGCGACAGTGGTTTGTGTGCAGTGGAACAAGGGGTTAGTCAGGGCTCACCAAAGCCAGTACATCTCACCTTTAACAACCAATGTGGCAATGACTGACAGACAGTAATGCCCCGATTACAGTTTCCCTTGGCAAATTTGAAATGAATAGTTTTATATCAGATTACCGTTTTGTCAATCATCGCACTTGAAAGAATTTTCTCATTAATTTTAAATCTCTGCTAACACAAACAATGGAAAAATACAGACAGGCCTTTCCAGCAACAGGCACGAGAACGTTACACAAAGAGGTCTTCGGGACTTTGCTTTTTCGTTGACTTTTGACTTAGACATGGCTGGATATCCTTTACCCAATGAGCTAAATGTTTAGCAACAAGTTCCAACAGGCTTTTCCAGCAGGTCTAGAATATCTGATGGGACACGGTTGAAAAATCTTTCCTTAAAGCACAGGAGATCTTTTTATTAAGAATCTAGTAACTTTGAACTTACAGCTAAAACATGTTTTATTTAGTGAATATGCTACTTTTTCTTTTGAAAAAAAAAGGCTTTAAAAGCAAGGAAAAAACAATCTTCTATACACCTTACTGTTTATAGTAGTGAAAAAAAACCAGTTATGTGAATTCCTGTACATCTATAGCTATAGAGAGTTTGGCATTAAAATATATGAAAGAAGTTTAGTGGGATATAAATGCTGGTGCACAGTTAATGCATGTGGTAAGTTTACTAAGCTTATCTTTTTCTTCAATTGCTAAACAGCTTTTAAAATTAATTCCTATGGATGAATCAATAGAATGGAATATTTAATTAAAATTTAGGTATCTTTGAGTCTTATTTTTTTTATGAACATAAAATACCTCTCTGTTAACATCTTATATTCACAATTATGTGGAATAAAAAAAAATAAAAATAAGTTCTCTTTGGCACAGGTGAATGGAGAATAATGTCCATTTCAGAGATGTGAGCAAATGCTACAAAGGTAGAAATCTTATTTTACCAGTAGTGGAAATTCCTAGTGTCTTCATGGTCTGAAGTTTCTAATTCTAGCCCTTCTGACATCAGGTGATGAACAGGTTTTCTTAATACTGAATATTATTTGATATGTATCTTGGACTTCTCCGTACTTCTGTGTGTGTTTGGCAGGGGTGGGTGGTATTCCATTTTGGAAAGTCTCTCTCTTGCTTGCTGCCCTATAAAATTGTGCTAGAATTAGGCACGTTTAGACCAGGTGCATGGATTTGCTAGTACCTAATGCAAAAGGAAAAACAGGTGTATACAAGAAAAGTAGTTCATCCCAGTACGTCATCTCATGTGATAAACCACAAAAATAATTAATGAACTGTATGTATATAACATGTAAGTTTGTCCATTTCATGTCATCTGGATCTGAGGATCTTAGAGGTCTTTTCCAACCTTGAGAATTCTATGATTCTGTGATCTGCCTGCTTACACGCCTGCCTAGGAGACACATTGCCTTGCATTCCAAGGCACTGAGCACTTCAAAGAGCTACCCTTAACAAATAAATAAAAAAGCTGACACAAAAATATTTCCTTCTTTCCCACATCAAACATGGAATTTCACCCCAAAATATGTTGGCCTGAGGTAGACAGCAGTCCAAATTTAGCCTGGATATAGGTCCTGATGTTACCTAGAAAATTTAGTCAGAGAAGGCGTACAGCTCTGGGAAAAGTTGTTTTGGTATTTTTTTGTTTGGGGGATTTCTCTGTGAGAATCACATAACTTCTTAGTATATAGGAACAGAGAAATCCTAAAGCAAATCTGCAGTTGAGGAAATGCAGCAGAACATTGCTTTAAGTTGAGCTTCTCTGTTTATTCCCGTTGTGTATTTGTTCCCATGACATTATTGTTAACAGTACATTGTTAAATGTTTGAGCTTTTGGAATTTGCGTATTCCCTTGTCAACAAGCAGTGGAATTACTGGCACTGAAAATTTGTAAAATAATAACTGCTACCAAATAAATTAAGTTTTCAAAAGAGAATGAAACAATACAAGTAAAAAGGATAAAACCCTAGTATTTTTAAAAGTGTTGACACAGCCAATATTGAATCTATGATTGTGCAATATAGTACAGTAACACCAAAATAACTCAGTTGTGATTTTATCACATACATGAACTGTAGCCAGCACCAATTAATTTTGATAAAAACCCTATTAGTACATATGCTAGAGCCCTAGAAGAAGAACATGCATGGCTTACGACGATATATGTTTTTGTGGGAAACCCCATAGAAGATGAAATTCTGGCTTAACTGAAGTCAAAGGCCAAAATTCCACTGAATTCCATGGGGCAGCCTCTCCCTGTAATGTATATTTATTTGGATTTTATTATGTAGACAGACCAGGAAGTGAATGTACGTGATCTTATGTTAAAAAAATGACACCAATGGAGATCAGTTTCACCATCAAATGGGAACAATTGAAAGGATGGAAGAATGGAATTTTGTTTCTGTCAAAATAGCTGGCATTTCTATGGTAAAACCCAGAAACTTCAAAAAAGGAAGCTCCTAATTTGAAAACCTTTTTTTCTATTATCAGCAAAAAGACCTTTTTTTAATTAAAAATACCCTTTGCTGAACATATTTTGGTAGAAATTTCAAGCTTGTTAGGGGGGGTTGAAGAACAGTTTTGGTGAATATAAAACACACAAAGCTTGTTTAATTCTGGTCATGGCAGTGTACATTCTGCATAAACTACAGCTGGTCTGTGTGACTGGTTGTAAGACAGTTTTGGCGGAGGAGGGAGGATTTTATACCCATTTAACTGTAATCTCGATAAGATATGGTACTTTTAATAAGATTTCCTCCTGTGTCCTTAGACTGTAACCTTGTTTCATGCATTTCAGACTGGATTTAATTTCCATGATCAACTCTGAAACCAGATTTTCTAATGGAAACAATTGTAAATGCTTCAGTGTATCTAATCCTGTACTGCACACTTTTCTTTAGGCTCTGAGTGATGATGGGAAGGCATATAAGCTACTCTTTTGGTTGGAGGGCAAAGCACTCCCTTGGAAAGTTGGGCACCCGGTTCCACTGCCATCAACCTTTTGTTCCTAGATGTAATTTACAGCCTGTGTCCTGCAGAGAGTTAGGAAGACGAACAATGGCTCCTAGTTGTTTACTTCTGAAAAAGGCAGCAACCCAGATTGGCACCTACAGCATGGATACATCAGCCTGTTTTACTGGTTTGCCCCAGATCCCTAAACAGGTCACTAATCCAGCACTGACAAAAATCTTAACAGCCAGAATCACTCAAGTAGGCCATAAGAAACTCTTTGCAGCAAGGTTACTCCTGTGGCAGACCACGCAGCCCCATCAGCTTTCTTGCTCCTTGCACCATCCCAAGGTACTCAGTCCTTGGCATAGCCCATATGGCTCCCAGCAGAGCACAGACAGAAACTCACAGTACCAGTCCTCATCCACAGCATCCCACTGCTATACTCAGTTATTTACTATGTCACTGTTGGAGATGGGGCAGAAAATCTCCACGCAGCAACTGCCACCAGATATCCAAGCATGCAGCACAGACACACTGAACGCATTAGTGACTAACTGAGCCACAAACAGCTGTGTAGTGGGGCTGGGGGATGGGGAGAGCACAGGGGAAACTGAGAGAAGTGGAGACACGTTTTTCTCTGTAGGTGATTTCAGTTTGACTCTGCCTCTCCCTCCCCTTTGTCAGCCTTCCCAGCACACACCATGCAACAAGAACCTGAAAACTGATCTATCAGAGCATGAGCTGCCATCTTTGCGCTAAGCATTCTGTATTCCTCCTATCATTTCTTTCATTTGAAGTTTAACAACAGGTAAATCGAGCTTATACCAGGCCATCTCCAGGACATGCTCTTTCTTGTCTTCCTTACTCTCCTCCCCACTGCCTTTCCATTTTCTTCATTTTGATTTTGCTTCTTGACTTCTGGCTCAAATACTGTCTCTTGTCTCCACTCAGTTCTCCTTTTTCTCAGCCTCCATAATTTCTCATCCACTCTTCCTCCTATGCAGCATGTTGGAATAATTAAACATTTAAAGCTCCAGAAGAGCAGGTGAGCTTTACAAAATGCAAACATTCTCACAACTCAGGAAACACTTGATATTTGCATAAGCAAGCTGTTGACTGTACCGACAGATAAACCCTAGGGGAGTCTTATGCCTAATATGGCCCTGACCAGAGCACTTCAAAGTCT